CGGCCCTTCCGAAACCCGTACTGCCTACCAGACAGTAGATTTCTTCCCTCCAGGTCGTTGACTAACCTCGTATTGATCAGCTGTTCGTACAGTTTTCCCATGGTGTTAATCAAACATATTGGTCTGTATTGCATGTGAGTCCGCTTTAGGTTTCGGGATCAAAATAAGCTTGGCGACCTTCCATTCATCGGGAAACACCCCCTCCATGAATAATTCGTTCAGGACGTTCAATATCTGTGGCCCTATTTTCTTCACAGCGACCTTGATTGCCTCTGCCGGTATTCCATCCATTCCCGGAGCTTTCTTCTTTTTAAGCCTGTGCGCGGCCGCGTTCATTTCTTCTTCCGTGAAGTATCACATTGCTGTTATCTTCCTTCGTCCATTCAATCTCGTTTGCCACCGGAAACAGCTTTTCAACTACTTTCTTTTTATCTTCCGGGCACAGCTCCATTACTGGTTGTCATTCATTCATAGATCTTATCGCTATCTTGTATCCGTCCCCAAAAGGATTGTTATCGATGTCCTCGATCAACGCCCGCCACGAGTCCCTTTTTCTTTTATTTATGTCCCTTTTCAACCCCTTCACACAGTTAAATTCCTGTACTTTTCGTGTTACTACCTCTAGATTAGTCACCCTACTCGCCCGAGCTCTCGTGAGCAATCTTCTTTTTTTTACTACTTCTTTCCTCAGTTCTGCAATATTACTATTCCACCAGTAAGGAACTTTTCCATCTTTGCATCTTACTTTTATAGTGGTTTGTTTGTATCCGTCTTGTATGACTTTGGACAGTTGTTCCATTGTGAGGTACTCCACGCCCTCGCAGTACGCAGTAAATCATCGTACAAGATGTTCCACAATGTGGGGCCAAGGTAGATCCCTGCGGAACACCCATATATATCTCCATTTCTTGTTTGTTGTCTATTATGACCCTGCGATCACTTATATAAGACGCCACTAGCTTGACCAGGTGACCATCAACTCCTTTCCTAATTAGGGCTGAAATAATCAGATCCCACGAAGCCGTATTGAAGGCATTCTGAACATCTAGAAGGACAACTGCGCTTCATTCCCAATTCCTTTCCGCTGTCTTTATAATGTCAAGAAGCTTCTTTAATCTGCCTGCTCTGAACCCAAACTGGCATTCACTGAAGCCTCCAGCTCTATACCAATCTGTTTTCAGTCTCTGTAACACCACGTGCTCCACCAGCTTAGCAAAAGCGTCTATTAAACATATCGGTCTAAAATTCGAACTGCTATCGCCTTGCCGTCCAGGCTTCATACACAAGATTAGCTAAGCCTTCTTCCATGCTCCGGGAAAACAATCTTCCTCATATAAATCCCCTATTATTCTGCTGGTATACTCTAATTTTTCAGTTGCCAACAGTTTTATGAGTTCCGCCGGGATTCCATCAGGTCCTGCAGCCTTCCCGCTCTTCAATTTACTGGCAGCCATTCGGACTTTCTCCGCCGTGACCGGATCCGTTCTCCCCGGCAAAGGAATCGGGGTCTGCATCGCCCTCTCCGCTCTAGGGAAGAGGACCTCTGCTATTAAGACCTGGTCTTCTAGTGTATTATCCAATCGTGGGTATTTAATGCCCAAAGAATTTCTAACTATTTTGAAACCATCTCCCCAGATATCATGTTCTACGCTCTCAATCAGTTACCTCCAGCATTTTTCTTTTTCACTCATAACTTTGATCTTAATGTCCTTCTTAGCTTTTTTGTAGTCTCCTTCCAATTGCTCAATCTGAGTAGCATTCCTACTCTTTGGTTTTTCTCTAGTTAGCCTTCTTCTGACTTCCGTCATTTTGCAGCGTAACTCCGCAAACTCACAAGACCACCAATAAACTTTCTGTGCCTGAGCATTTCTATTTATCCATGGTGTCGAGGACTTCTTGATCTCTTTCAAACGCTTTATACATATCTCATATCTGTGATTGCCTTCGCTAAGCGTCACGATCTCTGTTCGGGCAAGATCAATTTTCCCTCTAGCCCGTCTATTTCCCCTCTAACCTCTAAAGTAATATAATCGTGCAGACTCAATGTCTCATCATCAAGAACCTTCCAACCTTCCACCCTCCTTGCCATCTCCGCTGTCGCTAGCGTAACATCAATGATAGACTCAGAAGTACCTCTCACGAAGGTAGGCTCACTGCCCTTATTCTGCACCACCAACTCTAGTTCCATAATGAATTGCGTCAAAACCCTCCCCCTATTATCCTCATAGGAGGATCCCCACATAGCGGACTTGGCGTTTAGATCTCCTGCAATCAATATACTATTTCCCTCTGCTAAGCCCGTATACATAGCTTTCAAACGCATTCAGCCCCGTATTTGGAGAAATATAACAGGCGTATACATAACCAATCCTGGGGATATACACCCAAACAAACCCCTTCCCCTGACCCCACTTCGTAATTTCGAGGCCTTCTTTAACCCTGATTATGCAGACGTCCAAATCTTTGTCCACATACCACCTCTATTCATCGTCATCCTTTTATTCGGTTTTGCAAGAATATGCAGGTCCACCTCCGTTTCCGCGCCACATGCCTTAATAGATCCTGTGCCGCCCGTCGCCAGTCGATCTGAATCACTTTGAATGTGACGCCGTCCCCCCACCTTGTTTTCTCTGCCTAGCTTGCTCCAATAGATCACGGAAATAAGGACACTTCTCCGAATCACTTCTGTGACCCGTTGTCTTACACGTATGACACTATTCTTCCTTCTCACCAGTACACTCCCTTACCCTATGCCCAGTTTCACCACATCTCATGCAGGTATTTTTCCTGTTAGGCCCTTTACAATCCCTAGCCATATGTCCCATCTCGCAGCAGTTATAACACTTTGCAACTTCCAACCTTTGTCTGACCTTGCATCGGGTCCATCCAATCCTTAACCAGCCTCTTCTGATTAACTTGTCTTCGTAGTCCCCAGGTAATGCCACCGTGGCATTCTGGTTGCCTCTAGCCGTGGGCCTCAACGACAGCACCTTGATGTCTACTTTTTCTGATAATTCTAGCTCTTGACCAATTGCATTCTCGATCTCTACTTTGTCCGCCGTCTCATCCATGTCGTATACATTTAGCATCTTTCTGGTCCCTACTCCTACAATCACTATCTCCGCCCCAGTCACTTGATTCATTGTTTCCTTGACCTTCCTTGCTCCTGCCGCACCTCCATTGGTCAACAGGATATCACCCTTCCTGGTTTTCTTCAACGTTTCCAGTTCACTGGGCGCCTTATCTTTTATTCCTTCTTTTATCTCTTTGAGCAGACCTGCATATTGCCTCTGTCCAGTCTTAATTACAAATGCTCCTTTCTTCCTTCCCTCCACTTGTACATTTTTCTCGTGCTTAGCCTTTTATATAGCTTTATCCTAACGTCCATTTTAAAGAATATCACTTCTAATAGCCTCCCAGATTTGTAGTCCCTTCGAAGCTGCCATTTCAATTATGTGAGTTACATTATTCTCCAATTCTCCTCTCCATTTCATACAAACTCTTAAGAAGTCCATTATAGGGTTTACCATCTCATCTTTCTTATGCCCTATTTTGTAAATAGTTCTCACCGACTTCTTCCACCTCCCCTCCGAGCAGAATTTGATCGTCAAAGTTATCGCCAGTCGCTTCTGTCTCACTCTCTTTGAAGTCAGGATATCCATCCTCAAAACTTTTCTTCAGACCTCTATCATGCTCCTCGGCTCCCCAATATATCGCCAAATCTCCCTTTTCCTTCAGTGGGTTCCTTTCGACCGCCTCAGTGATCCTATGCAATGAAGAAAAAAAATTCATTGATGTTTTTATAGGATATCCAGGTTCAGTTCAGTTCAGATTCTCGAGTATTTAAAAATTCAACCATTTATAAAAAGTTGCCTGATTTACTGTGTACTGGTGCGTATGTTTAATATGTATTTAATAATTATTTTTGGTTAATAATTTTTCAAAACAAATAAGTGAATTGTACAGTTTCAGAAATATCAAACCGAATGTGTATTAATTTTAGGTAAATATATTCTTGGTGACTCAGCCTATCCATGTACGCAATATCTCTTAAGTCCGTATCGAGACAATGGACATCTGTCTGCAACGGAGAAGAATTTTAATTACAAATTAAGCCAGTGCAGAGTGGACATTGAAAATAGTTTTGGAATTCTAAAGCAAAGGTTCAGAAAACTGTATTATTGTAAATTAAAGGGATTGGAGAAATTATGCCATTTCATAAGAGCCTGTTGTATATTACATAACATGTCAAAATCTGACGAAATTGAAATTACCTATGTAAAAAATGATATGTGTGAAAATATTGATGGTGGAAATGAAGATATTTTACAGGATACTGCATTGGGGAAGGCTTTAAGAAATCAAATTGCAATAGAACTCCCTAAAAAATGCCAAGGAAAATGTAGTGAATTTTGTATTATCATTTTGTATCTAAGATTTGCAATAAAAAGCTACAAATTATATTAAAAGTCTTATTTATTTGCAGACTAAAATATAGTTATACAGTTCAGTTTTATCACATTTTAAAGTAATGATTGCAATGTTCAGAAAGGCCATTTATTTTTCCCTACTTTTTATTCTTATCACCTGCCTGGTACACGTTTGATTTCGTTCTTTATAAGCATCAACCTTGGCTTTTTCCAATTCCTAAATATTCTTTCTAAATTCATTCTTTTGGGCTTCTTTTTCTTCTTTTAAAAGTATTTCATTTTCTCGTAATTCTCTTAGTTTGCGGATTTCTTCTAATACTGTTCTTGCCTTTTTACATTTTTTTGTGTTTTCTCCTCTTTCTTCTTTATTCGTATCACTTTCATTGCTGGTACTTGTACTGGATGCAACGGATGATGGAGACTTCCCATCACTAGCTGCATCTAAGAGAAATTCAGGGAATACTGATTTCTTCTTTTGATTAATCCGAAATAATTCACACTAATATATATATTTATACTTTTAAAAATTGCAACTAGCTCTACTTCTTCCCGTCTTTTTATTGTTTTGAACAGTGTCTTTGAATCCCCTATCCAAAGCCTTGTATCTATTTTCAACCTGAATAGGTGTAAATTTTAATCCTTTGTTTAACATCTCTCCACTTATTATTTTCCACAAATTCTTTTTACTTTTGAATTTTGGTGATTTACCAACATTTCCAATATTTTCACAGTAGATTTCCAACAATAACTTGGTTGACTGAAAGTCCCAACTGCATTTGATGTTTTCTGTAAAAAAAGAAAAACGTCCAAATCAAATTCCGCACATTTTACATTACAAAGAACCTTACCCACATTAGAGCTCATCTCAAAAGCTGCACAATCACTATTTGTAGTATTTTCATTCTCATCTCATCATCTCAAAAATATATCTAAATAAATAATTATCTAACTTTAATAGGTGAAAAGTTACCAATATCAACTATTACTGAAGAAGCAGTTTCATAGTGGGCACATCTGTGTCGTGTAGTTCGATTCCCCATTATCAACGGTATCTATGCCAAATACTGCCAGTCTTCCTTCGATATATGATTTTTGAAATAATTCCAGTGTAAATTCATCATCTACAAGTAAACGTTTAATACATTACAAAATCCAGAACTGATCAACTTGCCATATCTTAAAAGATGAACCAATTTAGCATCATCTTCTAAATTGACCAACTTGTCACAAATTTTGAAAAGTATACGGTCCATCTTTGTATGCAGTTCTTTGGTTGTGGTTGTATGTGATTAACGGTTTTATAGGTATTTATGTAAATACCGGGTGATTCAGTTTGGTATTCGCGGCCCTGTATCTCTTTTATTTTAAGAAATAGCTATAACAAACCCTATATATTTTTAAATCGCCGTTCAATCTCTATCAAATTACATTATTAGAACGTCTCCATGGTAACATATGTCAAAATTGCTATAGTCAACTGTTTTTGTTCAAATGGCACACTATATATTTTTTTATCAATTCTGAAAGATAATTTTTCTGCGTTCAGCTATGTAAGGAAGTCTATAGTTTCATTAGAAATATTGCTAGAAAAACAGCAAAAATGATAGCCAGCTGCGAAAACAAGTTACTATGTTTTTTAAAGTAACATACTTTATTTTTAATACGATAATAAGATAACAATTTAAAACAATACTTATTTCAAATATTCAAAATGACCTCCATTTGCTTCCAAACACACAATAGCTCTGTTTATCACCCCCCTCTCTACAAACACATTCTAGTGCTTCTTCATTTAATCTCCGACATTCTACCTTTATTCTATTTTTAAGATCGTCAATATCATTTGGGTAAGGCCAAAGAAAGAAATCTATAGGAGTGAG